TCAAAGTTCTACTATCATTTTTAAAGTTATGCCAGATATATACGTACGTAAACGTTTCGGAATTAGTTATGCTTTATAAAGAGCTAAAACGTATAAATAGCTAAATTTTTACGTAAAGTTTAAATAAGCGAAGTAGTAGAAATCAAATGAATTAAAAATTTCTGTGATAGTTCTTTACAGAGAAAATTTATTGCTAAGCTGTTTCTTATCCTATTTCCGAGTTTTGTGACATGCAAAATTTACCCTAAAAACATTGTCAAAACCTTTGTTTGATTTAACCATTTCCATTCAATGGAAGGTTAAAATACTAATTTCACGAATCTTTCGAAGCTTGAATATTGTCCAACAAAATATTAAGCTTTTCTGTAAATGGGAATAATATGAAACCCAACGCTCTAGTTGAACTTCTTAATGACGTTTAAAGTATTATTTAGAAAATAGGCATTAAAATATTTAGTCTGCGTTCCGACAATATGCGTTCGCCAAATGCAGTTATGATAACTTAAGATGTCTCAAATAATTTTAATTGCATGAGAGTGTTTTATTTATTTTTCACTAAACTAATCGCAGAAAGCAACACAAAACGTTGAATTTCTTTTACTCAAAGAAGTTAAATAAAGCACTCGGAGCTTGTACGTCTGTCTTATTTGACTAAAGATAAACCCATGATTTCAGTTTAAGAAGAATTCTTAAACTGAAATCATGGATTTATCTTTAGTTGTTCAAAGCACATTTAGCCGTGCAAAAATTTCAGACACCTTTATTACCGTATTTACTCGCGTAATAGTCGCACTTTCTTTGCCAATTTTTCATTGTGAAAGTCTTGGTAAGACTATTATGCGGGGAAATCTAGTACACAATATTGTACACTTTTGGCAATTTTTTCGCTTCAAAAAGGGTGTGCGACTATTACGTGCGTAAACACGGTATATATTGAGCGAACTACTCTAAATATAAGCTGATGAATTGCAGGGGAAAATGTATGCCAATTAATAGCAGTTTGCACATTTTGTTTCGTAATATATTTTCTTAAAACATTTAATTAAATTTAAAAAAATTCTTATTTAAAATAAAAATGTTGTATGCTTACGTACTTGGCAGAATAACATTATTTTATGTTATCTATTTTCAAACTCACATCGTTATAAATGCGAATTTAAGTTTCGGCATAAAAATTAAATTAAAAATTATTAGAATTTTTTAATCAGAAAACCAATATGTTAAAACGTCAAAAAATAACTTCCTGGTCGAATCTGTTAGCTAATGTTTCATTACTTTAAATGCATATTCTCGTCATTGTATTTTCTTACTTGAGCTAATGTACCACAGAAATTCCTTTTTATATGATTGTAATATCCTTTCTTTTCCCTTTTGATTAATTTGAAGAAATTAAAACCTGAAGCAAATACCTTGACTGTCTATACTTTAATTTTTTAATACAACATTAATTTTGATATCTTTCTAGATCCAGTTCATTTAAGTTTAGCATATATAGAGACTTTAAGAGTTACTTAAATAATGAATATAACTTTGTATTTAATAATTATGTTTGACTTATGTAAATGTTTAGTAGCATAAATTTTAAAAACACTTTTAATGTTTCCCAAAATAATTAAATTAAGAATAATTCTATATAAATAGCGTTTCAGGTTTTTGAACAATTCGAAAAGAACTTTTAGTTAAAAATATTAAAATTATCATTATCATACTTCAGATTTAATAAAAAACTTTTACATTCCTACACTGTAAATAAAAATTTTGAATTCTTTGTCAAAAAAGATAGATCTTTCTGAAAGGGTAATTAATGAGCGATAACTTTCCTGCATTTTACTCTGAGCATTCAGAATACTTAAACAATTTACGTTACTTGAAATGTATTTCGTAGCTTTAATAAAGAAATTAAAATTTCTGTGCTGTATTTTTTTTAAACATACAGACTTCCCGTGCACCACATATGTACAACACGGGGCTTACAGAAGTAAGTTAACTAAAACATTAAAAGTTACATGCATAAATAAAACGAACAAAAGCAGAGAACAGCAGTCTGGACTTCACGAAAACAGATAAGTTCACTGGCGAAGTCACTCCGAACATTTTCAAATCGTTCTGCAAGCATAATCTAGGGCCATCAAATGTAAGGCATGAGAAAATCAAATGTACCACATCCTGAGGTACTCTTTTTGAACATTCACATAAATTGTTTGATGTTAGACTAAAAAAAAAAAAAAAAAAAAAAAAAAAAAAAACACCAGGTAACTTGCAAATTTATGGTGACCCGATAAAAACTGAGATACTTTAAAATTTATAGAGGGGAAAGACTCGGAATGCAGTCTATGGTAAATAGAAGAAAAGAATTTTTTGGTGACCTCAGCATTGCAAGATGAAATATATTCATCATTCCACTTAGCTAAAAGCTTCTTATAACGAAAGGTCTTCCAATAGCTCTTTGGAATGCTAATGTTGGTATTCAATGGGTAAATTTAAGGCATCTTTAGCTAAGAAATAAGCTTTTTCATTTCTATAGAAACCGTGATGAGCACGCACAAAAGCAAAGCGGATATCAGTTACTCTATTTCTAAGAGAACTGACAGTTAATAGGCTGTGCTGTAGAGATAAATATTTTAAAGTGGACATTCATTATTTTGCGAATGTTGATGCCAGTTATTACGTAATTGTAATATAATATTTGTTTCACATATACATGTAACTTTTGTTTCATATTGTAGGAAAAACACATTTTGCATATTTTCGCCTTCTGTATTCAGTTTGCCTGTTCAGAAATTTACTCATTCAATGATCTTACCTCTTTAAAATGTAATGGATTACTTTAATAATTTTCTACATTTTTAACCTTTGATTGCTGTAGGTTTTTTCAAGTCAGGAAACATAAAAGAAAAATTGTGCATTTTTGAACATCGAACTTTCCACTGTTAGATAGATGTGATAACAACTTACACCTTGAGAGCAGGCACCGGAGAATGCGATAATTTCTCAAAAGATTTTATCCATATTTTTTATAATAGAGAGAGAAACTGAGCTCAGAAGATAGAGGTCTACATATTCCTTATTAGTAAGACAGAATTGTAAAAATTAGCTTAAACTTAATAGCCCAATTCTTTTAACTTAAAAGCAATTTGAGGAATTTTCGGGGACAAACAATTCCTTCGTCAGAATCCTATTTGCTAGACAATCAGTACAGCAAAAGCTGTCCACATATTTCTTAGAACGACTGTGAAAAAGTCGTGAAACGACTGTGAAAGAATGACGAAGCGTAAAAGATTATAAAAGAAGATTTGGTAACAGTTGATCATTTGAAAGCCAATTATTGTCTGCTATAATTAAATTGTGAACACTTTAAAGCTGGAATATACATTCGAATTTTGGTTTGGAGGCTACATTTTCCTCCTTTTAAAGAGAAATATTCTTATTTCATTATTGAAATACTTTATGAAAGATCATCAAATGACACTTCTAAATATAAAATAAAGTAATATAATTCCTGATGAGGAGGAATAACGCCAAGCTTTGCTTATATATGAAAACAAGTGAAACAAAAGACTATCCGAAGAGGATATGCAATTCTACTATCAGAAGACGACATGCATTTCTATCTAAAATATAAAGACTCTGATCTTAAAGAATATTTGTGAACTCAAAAGACTATTTATGAACTTTGATAACGCAATAATGACTTTAAATAATGAATATTTTTATCCCAAAAAATGCAATATACTATGCCTTTTAAAGTGCATGGATTTATTAACGTGACTGCTATAACAAAAGATTTATTTAGTTTCATAAACAGACAGAAAAGAGGTATAGAACCTTAGTTCAAGATTTAGAAAATATTTAATGACTGATAGATTTTATATTATGCGAAATTAAATTAAATCAAGGAAAATGATAAAGTAAAATCATTGTGCTATTAAGAAATGCTTTAATTCTTAGATTGAGAGAAGATTTTCCATTGTTATCGAACTTTTAACTGAAAACGTTGCCTCACAATAAACCTATCCAGTCGTATATGTTACTCTACCACTAAATGTTTAAAATGGGCGAATGGTTAGATTGATTCTTTGCTTACGTACTTTTAAAGCCAGTTTTGTTAACTGGAATCAAAGATTTTAAATTATTACTGTTTATCAGTCCTTTGCACTCGCTTAAAATGATGGTTCTGTATAATGGTACTACCAAAAAATTGCCCAGTTTAGAAGAATTTAATTGCTTTACAGCTTTTCACGAAAATAACATTTTCTGTATTTAAGGGGAATGTAGTAATTCATCTACTCTTGGCAATTTCACACACACACACACACATACAAAAAGAAAAGAAAGAAAACTAGTAGGAATTTCAAATTTACGCTTTTCTTAAATAAAATAAAAATAAATAAAAAAAAAAAAACTTTCTAGAAGGTCACAACGACACGTAACAGAAACGGCTAAAAACATTTAAGATAAGATAAAACTTGGATAAAAGATTTAAGAAATTAGTATCTGAATTTAAAACAAAAATTGAAGTATAAAAGATTCATTCTTAAATATGCGTAAGCAATTTCTGTATTTGATGATTGCTGAATTTATGTTCTGTTGGCGTTTTCCTCGTTTTCTTAAAATTAACATGTGGATTTTGAAGATTTTAAATTGCTTTTTATTTTCACAAGATGTGCAGCCCAAAGAGATCAGAAAGCATTTTTTGGCTTAATATATATTTAAAGGATGGAAGAATTTCATTGATATGTTTGAAAAAAATTATAATTTTTTTAGTTAATAGAAGTACTTAAAATGTGCCCCTGTTTAAATTACTTTCGCCTTAAAATAGATTTAAATAAATGTATTTGTGTTATTGGTTGTTGAAATGACTAATGTTTCAAATTGTAATCGAATTATCATAATTTAATAAATTGTCTCATCTCTGAAAGAAAGGGAGGAAACACATATATACAAAAAATAGTTTTTATTAAATAGTGCTTAATTTCACAATGTTAAACATCTGATAAGAAATTGGAGCACAATTCACACATTTTATGAAGCAAAAATATTTACATTTACTAGTTTGACATAAATGACTAAGATTGGGTATTGAAGGCACCAGTGCTTTTCAATTTTTTTCAATAAAAAATAAGACATTCTTATTTACACAGCCTGATTTTCTAGATTATTAAAATAAACTTATTATTATTATGTGACCTGAGAATATTCAGATAAAACTTTGTATCATATTATCAATTTTTTTCATACTTTATTTAATACAAACGCATTTTATAAAAAATAGAGTTTTCCATTAAAACATTGCCAGAGAAAGAAAGTTTGCATTGCATTGAAAAATACGTATATATGAATATATTTTTGATTTGATAGATTATATACTTTTGTTTTATACATAATAATGTACATATTATTTCTCATGTTAAAAAAAATGTTGCATTCCTCAGTGCATTAGACACCGTAACTAGCATTTTAAGTACATCTTGTTTCTTTAAATGCAATTTATTTAGTTTTGTTTGATAACTAAATGTGTTCATAATGCGAGAAATATACATACGTTGATGCAAATTCTTCATTATTTAATTACTTTAAATATAATGCAAGGCTCTGATATTTGGTGGCAACAATTTGAAAAGTGATTCAGACCATTATAGTGAACCAACGCAAAATTGCAAAACGAAATTAATAGCACTTCTGGGCAAATTGCCCCGTTGGGCTAAAAATCTAGACAGAGTGATCTGAAGGCTCGAAAAGAGTAAAATGAGCATTATTAGCACCGCAAAAATTTAATTTTAAGACTAAGTATTAGCAGATATTATTTTCATTTAAAACGAGAAGAGAAGTATTTATATCATTTATCATATTTAAAAACAATTCTGTAATATTTTCCCGCGTTTTTAATTAAATCTGTAGTTTTCAGATTTTAGGTTTTTAATATTTTTAAGATAGAATTTTATTTCAGTTAAAGTATATATATCATTAGAGTATCTTACAAAACGGTAAATAAATAAAAAAAAACTTCTTTAGAAATAAAAGGTTCAAACTTTAAAGATAACACTGCTGTGTAGATTTAAATAAATGTATTTGTGTTATTGGTTATTGAAATGACTAATGTTAAAATTTTCCCAAGATTTAGAAAGCAATTTCGAAAAAGAATGTTGACACATTTAATGAATACTGAACTGAGAAAATTTTATGACAGAATCTGTAACCTAAAAAATTAAAATTTATGTGGAAATGTAGGAAATTAATCGATAAGTAATTGAGTAAGGAATAATTTTTATCGATTTGGATCTGCTAGTATAATTTTAAACTATTTTCGACTGCATTCGACTTACACATTGTTTTTAGAAATGTAATATGGTAAATAAATTTCATGAATAAATAATAGTATCAAAATTTTTCTGTTTGAAAAGTTTATCCTTTCATCAAAAATCGACGTTTATCTACGCTTTTTCATTCCTTTACTTCATGATCATGTTCAAATTCTGAAAACTTTCTTGCACTCATTTCCATAGAAGATCACCTTACCCTTCTCAAGGGCAAATAAGTTCGGAAATTACTGAAAGGAGTAAGTGAGTAAACATCCCTTAAGGCATTAAAAAAGAAGGGAAAAAAATCTTAAAGGAGCCCTCTCCTCGCTTAAAAATGAGTTCCTCACTTCATGAAATCGCGACAGGTCACTGGATCTCAATGGCAGAAGTGGGCAATTTTCAACTGAAAAATCTTCAGCACTGCATTTTCTCCACACTTGTTTTGGGGTTGGAGACTATTTCCGGTCCGCCGATTGTCGTCTGCTCTTCCGGTGGGTAGTTCCCATTCATTGATTTAAAACGCATTTTATTTTGTACTTTTTTTTATTTGCCTTACTCTTTACGGATTCTTTCTTCTTTTTCTGTCAGCAAGATGATCCGGTGTCTTCGGCATCTGAGAGGATGATTTCGTCGCAGCAGCAGTTCTGGTGGCAAAAGGAGTACTCTTACAAAAGTGTGCTGTCAACTTTTTAAGGGGAACTTTTTTACGTCTCTTCTCTTTTATTTATTTAATTTTGCGTGGCAAAATGGTATTCGAATTTCTTCTTAAGCCGCGCTTCAAAAGAATGATTCTTAGAAGTCTACTTCGATTAGAAAATAAATAAAAGTCTCACTAGTTGTTTCTTAATTTAATTGTAACTTTACTCACTTGGTTGCTAAAAAAGGGGTACTTAGCTGTTTTTAAATTACATATGGCATTACTCTTGTTTTACGTTTAGCAATAAACAAACTATTGAAGAACATGGATAATTGCGCATTAATTTTAAATCTTTACAGTTACATACTATTGCAATAGTTATTCTCAGTCGTGTGTAAAAATAATTTCTAGTTTATCTTGAATGTTTTTAAAAGTTCGCATCTATTTTAAGTAATAATAATAATAATTTTACATAAAATATAACATTATTGTAAGACAGTCATTATTTACACTATATGAATATACATTGCCATAATCTTTATTATTATTATTGCAATGATTAGATTTAAAGATTCATAATGAAAAATTAATTTAAATATAAAGAATTTCCGAATTAGTTGTTAATTTAAAATTTTTGGACTCTTCTAACGTTTATGCGTCACCCAACTTCATGTCTACTACTTTATGTCTACATATTTATATGAAATAAATTCACTAGCTTTTATTTAAAGGAGACTAATTATATACGTACTCAATGCACATAAACATATAAATCTTATTAATCAAAGTCAATTCCAAACTGATAAAAAGAACCTAAATAATTTAGCTATAAACATATATATAATCTCAAATAAATATATAATACATATATTTCTAAAATACTAATAGATTTTATCACTAAAATTGTGAAAACATTGCATTTCTTTCGTCACGAATAAAAGTTTTAATAAAGAAATTTACATGTAAATGTATAACTTGGCGCACTCAAAGTTTGGAGGGTTATCTTGAAAAACAAGATTACGAGTTGAAAGCTTAGAAGCATGGTTTTGCATCGCTGATTTCACGAAACTAACTTTCAAATTTTTTATTTCTTTAATTCTTGAAATTTCTTCTTACTAGAGTTATTGCTTGAAAACAAATAGCGTAGCTAATGATTCTACTTTCGTGCCAAAGATGTTTGTAATGTTTATATTTTGTTGCATTATAAAATATTAAACAACTAGAGAACAAGCAACAATAACTCAAAATATAATTTTAGAGAAAAATGCATTAAAAGTTAGGCTATATAAACTGAACTTATTCTAAATAATAATTATATCCTTTAGAACTTTATATAGTATAACCCTAAAATTTTCAAAATATGCTGTCTGTTATTATGTATTTAAACTCCTAACTCTGATGTGACTAACATACTTAAATCAGGGACTACCATATAATTAATTTTTAAAAATATTACTGAAATTTGGTTTCGAGACAACTTATAGGAAGTAAGAAATTCCATGCACATTCGCGGTTGAAAAACCATACATTAAAAAATCGTCAGTCATTAAGCTTGCTAATTTTCAAGTAAAGCTTACTAAGTTTTTTATATAACTTAAAACTACCCTATTTGAGTTATTTTGCAATTTATAAAAGTTACTGCGTAAAGCCATCTCAGTAAATTTAGTTATGTACTTAAAGACATGTTCAGCAATGAAATCAATCTATATATATTTTCAACACTCGACCATATTGTTGAAATAATTCTGACATCTCGACCAAATGTTTCATAGTTTTTCATTATCAATCAGCAGTCCTTATCTCTAAACTGTAAGTTATACAGTCTTTTACTGTTTTTGGATCTCAGATCAAATCTGATGTCATATGAACCAAACGCTGTGCTGTTTCTCTGCATTAAAGTTAATGAATTCAAATATTCATCACAATGATTCATACTTAGCAAAACTGTTGCTGCACTCTGACCCTGAGCAGGAAGAATCGGAAAAGTCTGTCGTGGTGTACGACCCTGAAAATTGGACAGATGATGAGCTAGTTGGGTGAGGAGATTCGATCGATGACCAAGCCGGACTGGGAGGTATGATGGGCGCAGAGCAGTAACCGTACAAGGGCGGAGCTTGCACATCCATCAATCTCGATGAATCGGAAGTTAAGTTAGAATCATCGAAGGCATTGCAATGGTCTGAATTGGATTTAATGCCTTTTGAGTCCAACATCTTCAGAGTTTCTGATAAAGCCCATATGTAATTATGCGCAAATCGAAGTGTCTCTATTTTTGTCAATTTGGTCTCATCGGGAAAGGTAGGTAAAACACAACGCAGTTTGTCCAAAGCCGAGTTGAGGTTATGCATTCTGTTTCTCTCTCTGTCGTTAGCCTTCAGTCGTCTTGTTTTCTTGATTTTGATGATGGCTCCGGGGTTCCTCATGCGGCTACGCGATTTTGTATACCTCTTCTTCTTCGATTTGTCTTTCTTGTCATCCATCTCTTGGACCATGAGATCCTCCTTATCCGCCATGCTTCCCTCGCTATGCAACATTGGAGATGAAATGGGATAATCAGTATCCCTATTTATCTGCCTTTCTAATGTTCTATTCTTCCATGTGTGTTGGCCTTTAGACTTAGGAGAAGATGTCGGCGTATTCGCAATACTTGGTCCAGCTGGGTAAGGTGGCCTTCTTGCATCTGGGGCTACAGCGTTCTGTATCGGGGCCTGAAAGCGAAGCAAGGTACTGTCGTTCGAAGAGGAATTAGGAGAGCGTAGGGTCTCCGCAGTCATACTTGATTACAAAATCATACACCTACAAGAAAAAAAAAAAACGAAAAGTTATATATTATGTTTAATGTTAATTAAAAATTAATACTTTGATTATGTGAGAAATATTTAATTAGATCAAATTATTATTAGAGAGCCACAGATTCAGTTTGGATTCATCAACTGATGATATTTGATTATAAACTTGTATATTCTTTATCGTCAGGTAAGAATACTTTCAATGATTGTCTATTTTATTTTTGAAAACACTAAGCGAATTTATTTTGAATTTTATAAACTTTTGTTTAACTTTAAGTCCTTTCAGTCTGTATAAAAAGCAAAATTATTAGTGTAGAGCGACACTAAATTGATGAATTCAAGATTATCGTAATTCTTGATCATCATATGTTAAATTTAATGAATTTGAAAAAAGTATTTAAAATTGATGAATATTTTAAATTTGAAGAACAAGACTTAAGAATAAGAAAATAGAATTATAAATAGGATTAATCTACTCTGTTAATTATATCAGTTGAAGAATGCCACTTCATTAATGAAATTTATTCTTTTGAACTATGTTGGCTTGTAAAAAATATTGCTATATACTATATTACTATAGTAGTATTATATAAATAAAGACACTCGCTGATGGGGAATCAAAATATATTTCTTTTATCTTTTTTTCAGAACAAATGTGCTTAATTAAAAGATACACATATTTAATTTTAAAAGTTATATATTGAATATCTGAATTAGAAGCGTGCATACTAAATCAAATTCTTTAATAATTTTATTGAAATTTTAAGTATAAAAATGTCAAAATGGATTTAATGCACAGGGATTTAATGCGTTAAAACCATTTAACGCATTAAATCCTTGTAAATGAATTAATTCAAAAATAATATTATAAAATCTTGTGCGTTATTTATGCAAAAGAAATTTCGCATAATATCAATGTTATGGGTTAATAAGTAAGCATAGATTTCTTGTTTTAAAGCTTGTTTTAATGCATGTAAGTAAGCACTGATTTCTTGTTTGTAATTCATTCTTTCTTAATAACATTGATTTCTTGTTTTAAAGCAATCAAATGCATTCAAAAGCATCTAATACTGAAATATTTTGAGTTTCCCTTCTTGAAATTTACCTTATATTTACAGCGCGCTATCATGTGATACCGTGCTAGTAAATTCTATACTAGAGGTCAAGTGCAGCTTCGTACCTGGCATAAAGGTCAACTGATACTTCAACTCGAATCCAGTTACTTATTGACACCTTCTTTGCAAAAAGGTGCATTCCGTCATCCTTTTTCCTGCCGCTGTGCAGAAGGGTTCGCTATGTTTGCAATGTTCTCAAATTTCCCGGTTCCTGTTCAAGTAGCTTCATTCGAGGTGTACTTTAAACCAGAGAACAGTAAACTCTTGGCAGGTTTATTCTTTAGTAATAATGAAGGAAAATATTGCTATTGAATGAGCTGATGTGTAACCTATGTAGAATGCTGTTAAGGTTTTCGATTTGATTTAGTTGATTATATCAGAGCATACTAAACCTATCTGCCTAAGAGGAGGGATGCCTTCGTGGAGAATTTTCTAACAGAAACTGGCATATATACACGTTACACATGCGGAAAACCATGAAAACGCTCATGAAGCCAGCCGTTCGCCTAGAATCGAACCCAGGTTGGAACTGCCAGTATTCAGTGATTTTACCGTTCGGCCACTGGTGGGCAGAATACTTTTAAGAAAATTCAGTTTAAGGCAGAATAAGAACAATATATTTGCAAACTTTACGACAATTGATTTCCAATTGAGGTAATCTAAGCATTCTCACTTCAAGGAAATTATAGTACATAAAATCGGAACCATTTTTATGTGTGTCTGTTGTTCTAGGATATGGCGCATATATATAAACAAAATGAAATATCGAAGGAGGATGCAAATACATCAGGTGAAATAATTAAAATGCACTTCAGAATCTGACAGTTTGATTGAAATACTGTCAACATTTTTGACTTCCTTATATGAAGTAAAGAAAGTACTGTAATCGAGAAAAATTTCGGTTATCATATTTCAACGGAAGTTTCCATTTTGATCGTTCCCCAATCAATATGGGCAATTTTTGGGGTGACGTCTGTACGTAATGACAGAATAAATGACGCTTTTTCCAAAACAAATTTAAAATAGATTCAAAAGGGATGTTTCGTGATGTCTGTAAGTAAATGTCTGTAAGTCTATGTATCTCTCATAACTCAAAAAGAAATGAATAAATGAACGGAATAACGAAAAGATTGAAATTTTGTATTTGAAACTGCTTAACATCTAGTTTTGCACTTCCCTTTTTCATTTCAAATGGCAGTACCAAAAGTATATATATATTCACGTCTTAAAACCTTTACCTTATACGTCTTATACCTTATACGTCTTAAAAGTCCTTCCCTGGCATTCATTTTCAAATTCGTTGATCATAGTCTTATACTTCCAGTTGCAGAAATGTTTTAAGTAACGAAAATATTCACGTTTTGAAAACACAAAATAAAAAAAAAATAATAAAGTTGAAATATTTAATAAAATGAATTAAAAATTAAAATTGATAAATTAATAAATTAAAAGAAAAATACAATTAAAATTTGCAATTTTTCTCCCATACAACAAAAATTTACCGGCTTATTCAATTTCAAAATTTGCAATTTTTGAAGTTATTTTCAATTTGCCTCTAGAGATCGGTAAATTAAGTTAGAATAGTTCGGGGAAATAAAATGCTGTGAAATAAATATGTGTAATTTAATTTGTTATACAAGAAAGTCATGTGATGTCCACATCAGATTTTTTACGCTTGTTCGCCTATTTCATCAGTAGGACAAGGGCTGAGATTGCAGACAAAATTAGTAATTGTGTGCAGCAAATCAAAACAGACAGTAGTGAAATAATTAATTTAAAATTGCGATCACAATTATGGATAACGCTTAGGTATGAGTGAAATGGAAGTATTGTAAAACAGACATTCATTGAGTGGCAATGTGAAGCATGTGAATTTTTCGGAAGTAGCAAAAACAAAGCCCACTAACATATACTGATCTATAACTTTTCTTCATAATATGTCGCATAACGTAAAGCATAACATTTCAATTTTATACCTTAATTAACCTTATGCTAATAATAAAATCTCTTCAATTTTCAGAACAAAATTATCATTAATTTTCGTTTGGGGGAAAAATGTATCGAAGCGTTTCCAGGAACTAATATTTATTCATAACTAATATTAATTGGAACTAACGTTATTATTTTTTATTTATAAACCTAACAGTTTATTTTAAAAAAAATTTAACAAGTTCTTTCCCCCTTTTTTTGTCGCAGTTTAGAACAGATTCGCAGTAAAACTCGACATTTGTTACATAAGCGACTGTTAAAGCACAACGCTTTAAGTATTGAAATTCAATTTGGTAGCAAATAAATATGGACATATTAACTGCTGAATTTGAGCTTATTGTCGAGGGCTCAACAGAAGTCTGATTAAAAGAAAAGAATTAAAATTTACTTACCATACTTGTCAGATATTAAAAATCGGCCTTAAATGTTGCCATCATTCATGCTTTGTTTTAAGTTTTATATCAGCATTGTGGGTTAATAACCAATAACTATTTATAAAAGCAATGAATAACTATTCATATAAATAATTAATAATTGTTAATAACTATTTATATCAACCAAGTGCAATTTACAAGACATGAAATGGTAACTTTTATTTTCCCTCTATGTTCCTACTTCAGGCTGCGTAATAAATTAAGTTTCATAATGTTTTAGTCAATACTGGAATTTTATTTAGAGTTTATTATTCATTTTATTTTACAAGGCGTTCTTCATGTGTGAATATGGTAACTAAGTAAGTAAAAATATATTAGTCATTAATAGTAGCGAAGTCTCTTTTATAAACATTCAAAAGGTAAGGAAACCTAGAATTAGATAGGAAAATCAAGCAAAGTTTTCGTTTATATAGTTTTCTTATAAAAGTTTCCTTAAGACGTCTTGTCTATCAGCACTAGTACGAAAACTCCAAATAAAATTTAATGATTATCTAAATTTAAGCCCTGTAGTTGTGAAATGATGGCATACAGAGTTATTCATAAGCAGTCGTTGTATAAAATCCTTTCGAAATAAAGAGAAGAAAATATTCCGTACATTAAGTAGGGCTTAAAATAATATTATTCATAAATATGCAATGGTTTCTTGTTTGCACATAATGAGACCAATTTTTCTTTCAGCTTAATAAATGATAACATTCAGCATGGGCAACCTGCATTTCAAATGCATTTTCTTCACCATAGTAATGGAAGAAAATATTTAATCATATAATATGAGTTTTTGTGTTTCGAGTTTGAGGATTTTTATGATCGTTTCGACGTGCCCAAAGGCACTGTGCCCTCTTAATTCGAATTTCACAACTTGACTCAAGTACCAAAGAGGTTCGCGGTAATTCACACAACTTTCACACAGTCAGAAAAATGCTTGTGCTATCCTGAAGTCTTTAAATTCCACCATAAACTTTAAAGATTTATTTCTTTTGCTAAGAATACGGCAAGCAAATCATCGAAGACTGGCTTCAGGATCCATTTCATGATTCTAGCTTCAATCGTATCTTAGCACTTCACAAATCCGTAAAACTGACACAAAAAGCCCTTCAAGAAGCAATTTGTTTTGTAAGCAAAGCTGCATGTATGCGGTTTCGGAAAGGATAAACTTTTCAATGGAAAGAGTTTCCGAATCAACCGCATTTATCTAAAAGTCTGCACAAAGGCATCACTGGATACTTCGGGGATAACAACCCCTAGTCGGCAGGGGTCTGCGGAATGGGTGAAAGAAGCAGCTCGCAAAGGCGTAAGTCCTTTTTTGATGTTTTATGCATTTCCATTCGTAAGGGTGTATCAAGAAGTCGGACATTTGCGGCACCCAACTGGGAATTTTGCAGCCCTAAAGGATACGGGTGTTTTCGTAATGGCAAAGTTTGCTTTTGTGGACATGTGCGAGTCATAACTGTGATAGAAGTTGACAGTTCCGACCTTTGTGAAACTGAATCGCTACGCCACTTATTATTCTTCAAGAAAGGATGAAATGGATGCAACCAAAACATATGAATATACTTGCTTTACATTATTATTTTGTTACTATCATTTAAACGTATTAATCTTATTCGCTTTCTAGAAGCATAAACTTTGCCTGTTATTTCAGAGGACTGATTTCTAACATTTACGAATTTATAATATGTAAAATAAATTTCATAAAATCCTTTCTAATAAATGCAATCATTTTTACAGTAAGATATGCATTTACGGATTTCATACTGATTAAGATTTAAGATTAAGATTTACATAACTGATTAAGATTTCGTAACAAGTTCTTTAGGCATATATTTATCTTTATTCACATTAGGAGCATAAAAATAAAACGAGTTCAGCAGTGTCCAAATGAGTTTATATATTTAGCAAAATAAATTGTTGAAATACATAAATAATTCGCAGTAGAAAACGGAGTATTAAAAGATATATTAAAAAGAGCTAATATATCTAAGATGCCAAGAGCCGGTGCAATCGGTGCGGCTGCATCGAACGGTAGAATTTAAAAGCAGTAATTTCTTTTTAATTTAGAGAGGTATAGAGCAGCACAATTTTGTGACGGAAAAATTTTTAAACTTGGTAAGCGGATACTGGGCGAAAGAATTTAGGGGCGGCAAAATTTTTAGAATTTAAGGAGGCAAAGGGTGGCAGAAAGTAGGACTCTCAGAAATTACGCAGGATTGCGAAACCTGTCTAAGACTGGACCTGTCTAAGATTATGATTCATTTACGTCTCAGATTCTTACAAATAAACTTATTAATCAAACAAGAAATAATCAAATAAGAAAATCAAATAAGAAAAGAAATCTTATTTGATTTTCACAAATCAAATAAGAAAGGAAAGAAATCTGCCAGCATATTTTCCAGTTCGATAATATTAATTTTCTCACTATTTATTAATGCATAAATATTGTAGTTCATGTTTTTTAGAGACCTAAATAAATCAAAATATTTATAAAATTTTTAGAACTTTCTTATTGAATGTAATTAGTAAATATGAAAGTCCCATGCAGCTAGTCTGTTCGTGAAATTCGAACCTCGGACCGAACTAACAGTGTTCAGCGATTACCGCTCGGCTTTCTTAAAGTGAAGAAAATCTGATGTGGACACCACACGGTCTGTTAAATTATACGCATTTTTAAGGGGCTCCATTTACACCCGAATTATTTAAAATTGAATTTCCCCGAATTATTCTAACTTAACAACCTATCCCTCAAGGTAAGTTGAAAATGACATCAAAAATTGCAAAATTTGAAATTAAATATTTCGATCAGTTTCGGGCGAACACCATTCAAACTTTTTTTTTTTTTTTTTTTTTTTTTTTTTTTTCTCCTTTAAGTATAGGATCCGGAGGTATGAAATTGATATTAGAAAACAAAGTCATTTTTTATTTAAAATACAAATTATTTACGAATTTTAGAAGAAGTATTGATCTTTATGAGAGAAATTAGTCATTTTGAACTATAAAATAAAGTTAGATTCCGCTTTAGATAGGGATTAATTAGGAAAAAGGCAAGGCATCTTTCAAAAGAATTAAAGACGTGAAATCTGCAGCGTACATTTGATTCTTGAAATCGAGAGATCTGGAGCAATTCATTTGAAATGCATTCAGCATTGAAGAAATTAAATTATCAAAGAGGATTTTTGTCTAAATGTGTGAGTTCGATGTCTGTATGAACTAAGAAACTACATAAATGCTTCTAAACAATAAATATAAACTTAAATTAACATAAATACTTCGTACCAAGGCATGAAAAGTGTAACACAGCTGAGCGTTAAGTCTTTAGAATTCTTAACTCTCATTGTTCATTGTTGCCAGTTTCAAAAATCCATTCTTTAAAAAATAATACAGTATTGCCGCTTACTGGAAAATAATTTGTTAAACATTTCAGCATTCCCACACATAAAAATCAATTTTGTTCAATATCTTCTTTTTCCCATAAATAGATGCAATTTTTAAATTAATCATTCACGATCTTTTGATACAGTTTTTAATACAATAAATCTTTTCAAATAATCCAAGAAATGTTTTTACTCGTATTGACTAAAAATATAAAATATGAGATGAAATATTTTGTTTTATATAAATATATCAATATATCAATATAAATAATAAATTTTGATAAATTATAAAAAATTGCTTCAGTAAGGGCCGTGTTTATTTTCAGAAACCTTTTTAGCCTAGATGGACTAAAAGTCTCGAAACGGCATTTTGCGTCGAACGACTTGAACGCGATGTATCACTTTTTGAATTGTTGCCACCAAATATTATCACCCTGTATTACATTTAAAAAAACTAAATAATAAAAAATCTGCATGAATTTATGCATGTTTTCCGCATTGAGAAAAAACAACGGTGCCTGCAGTCATCAGTTTTTGGATAACATTGTTCTCCACCCGAACATGGGTACATGGAAGCCCGAATTCGGAATTTGTTCTAGTGTCTATTTCATAGTTTGAAAAACTTTAACGAATTTTTGATTAAAATACTCAACAATTTCAAAGCGAACAGCGGTAACACTGTAGGGAATAACACACTTTTATCTCCAGCATGAGAGTTTGTCTATCGGAAATTGAAAAAAATGTTTTGAAATATTTTAGCCCAATGTGGCGTTAGCTCAAATGCTGTCGAAACGTGTATGTGTCTGTAAAAGGAAAAAAAAAAAGGGCCCGTTTGGGCGTAATATAAAATCTTAAAGCTTTCCGAATTTATTTCCCAATAATTATTTTTAAAAAATGAACAACTTTGAATATATAGCTAATAAATGTTGGAATTAGTATCGTACGTTAGTGATTGATAAGGAGAGGAAACGGTAAAATGTGTTGAATCTTAAAAGCGGGAAAAGGACTTAGTATAAATGTATCATATTACTTGATTCTTTTCGGTATTCACTACTTGCTTTCTTACAAAACCAGACTCATAAAAAACGCTTAGAAATTGATCAGGAACACGTAATGAAGAAAAAGACCATGTTTCTTATGTTCGTTACTATATATCGTATTCTTATCAACACAATGAAAATTATCGTTTTTGAATAACACTTAACTACTCTATATTTATGCAGGAAATTTCCCATCAATACTTTGGTTTTTAATAATTTAAATCACCAATTATTTGAGATTTATAGATTTGCAGCACATGTAACGAATAAAAGTAACGAAAATTTAATGTGCGGATAATCATAGATTGTTAATAATTTATTCCCTTTCATAATCTTTTCCATACATTTCAGTATTTAAAACTTTTTAATAATCATAATCATTAATTAAAACTGAATTGCAAGATTATTTATTCCTAGTAAAATGCAATCGTATATTTATAATATAGTCATTTCTTGACGATTAAGATGAAATGTATTAACAAGTCAATTATTTTTAGAATATTACTGCGGTTATTGTATAATTGATATGACATATATTTTATAATTCATATGACAAAAATTTTATATCTTAAATCCATCAAAAGAAATATATGTGTCAAAAATGTAATGCACGAATATCAAAATGAAGTCTCGTTACTTAATCATTAATAAAATAAAGATCAAAGACATTATTTGGAAAGTTTTCTGAGACGAGAGGGATAATGCAGTTTTTAAAATTTCATGATGACAAAATTTCTGCTTTTCTTTCATCTCCTCTTTTGTTCTCGCAACAAAAGTCCTGATTAGCTAACTAATTAAAGTAAGGTAAGCGAGAAGTATTTGTTTAAGAAGAGGGATGCCTGCCTGAGGAACTTTCTAGAATAAAGAGGCTCCTCTTTAAATTGTACACGGATAATCACGAAAACCAGCATGCCGTTAGCTCATAAAAGCTAAAAAAAGTCCTGAAGCAAGTTTTATTAAAATTTTGCTTTAATTGGCTAAATATTTCTAAAATTTTCATGCTAAACGAAATATATTGTTTCATTCTTATCACTCAGAACTTTTTTAACTCGTACATTTTTTATGATTATTTATTACTTTTCTTTTCAGATGTCAAGAAAGAAATGAACATTTACCTAGTATGAAGATTTATTCAATTAAAAATCTTTAAGCATAACACTTGTTGATGCATGAAATAAAAAAAACTGTTCATTTTTTTTTCTTTTTTAATGTTAAAGGCAAAAAATTCAAAAAACAAAAGTAGTTATGGCAATCAAATACAACAAATTTTTATTTGTTAAATAATTGCTAATAGCTTTATTGTTAATTTGCCATTTATGAAATTTTTAGATATTAGTTTTGAATATTAATTATAAATTGTTATTCTTAATTTTATAGTATAAACAAATTTTTATTTAAATCACTAATTTTAATTAAGAAATTTATTTTACATTAAAAGGTAAAAATAATCATAAGAGGGAATTCAATGAATTCTAATAAGAAATACTTAATAAACTATTAAAAATAAGATTTTATAAATGTGAAATACATTCTGGATACTTTCAAATAACTTCTGGATACTTTCAAATAACGACGTGCAAATTTTCTTTAAAATATGGAAATCTTAAAATTTACTTTTTCTTATTTAGCGACATAATATGAATTTTAAGATAAAGAGCAGATAAATATTCGAACAGAATTATTCATTTATTCTCTAAAGAAAGTCAAAATAAAATCGTTATTGCAAAGGAAAACTAATTGAGGGTGGTAAATTAACAATGAAACAATAACAACAGATATGAGACAAAAAATTTCTGCTGGTCTAAACTACGAAATAATTCTTAAAAGATTTCGAAATAAAAACAAAAATTGGCTTACCTGAGGAAAAAAGATCTCAAACTGTAGCCGAATACGTCACCAGAAAACAAAGCCCATTTCTATAGCGCACAAGCACTGTTGCTACATTAAATTTTCGAAAATTCGTGTATAATTCCACGATAGTAGAAATGCTAGAAACTAAGAGTTAAATGCAGATACACGCGGCGCTTTAAGAAAAAAGTAAAGAAAAAAAATAATAATGCAAACTCAGAACTGTTTCGCGCTGATACTGTCGCGACTGATATGACAGTATGGTGAAAAGCAGTTTATATAAAGCCCTGGGGGGTTATTCTGCCCCCTCTGGAAACGGGACCCAATAGCCTGGAGCTGGGACGCTTCGTGCGCTCCACCTACCAGGGGAACATAAAATCCCCTTTCCTACGAATTCAAGGGGATGGTTCTCCACGAGAGACATTTCCTTCGACGATTGCGTGTCGTAATCATTAGCGTAAAATTTGTCAATGATTTTTTTGTTCCCTTTTTTGTTCTTATTTCTTTTTATTTTATTACATAGTGTGGGAGGATGGGAAGTGGATAAATTTTCAAGTGCATTAATGAAGTAATTTTTACGTCTTTCCCACGTTCGAATTCCGTTGGTTCATGCGAAATTGTTATACCTGCTTTGATTTATTTATCTTTGCCATTTTTGGAACCATCTGTTCTCTGATGTACATTTTTTAAAGATAAAACATATGCAAGATTTCAGCATTTTAAAATTCAAAGGCTTAAATATATCAGCTCGAAAATCCTTTGCGAGTTACAAACTTTAAATTATCAGTGTGAATATTACGCACAAATCGGCTTTGTACTTATATGAACTTCCTCAAATTACCAAAGTAAATTGTATTTGAAGTCAAGGTCCGATTTTTCCAAGGGCAATTTAGACATGAATTAGAGATTAAAATGAATTAAAAAAATTAAATGAATTAGAAACAATTTAATTGCATTCTCTCATGTCTTTGTAACTATAGCTAGAAGAAAAATAAGATTTCCTCAGTCTCCTTTCCCCGTCCCTCCCCCCTTTTTGTCCTCCCAGTTTGTTTGAAGAAGAAAACCAGATTAAAATGTGTGACCTTTATGCAACACATAAGAAACTTGTACGGTATTATTTCTTCCGCCTTCTTCTTCGTAGTGTAGTGGTCTGCACGCTGGAAGCATATTCCAGAGTTCCGTAGTTCGATTCCCGGCGAAGGCGTTCCTCATTTTTCATCACTCCTGCTTTAAATATAACCTAATGACTCAACAAACTGAAACCATGAAAACGGAAAAAGTAAAATGTATTTATTTTCTTTAAATAACTTTGAATGAAAAAAATTAAATTATAAAATTATTTCCTACAGTACTTAATATGAAATGTAGCGTTCATCTATGACATCTATTATGTTGGGAAAAAAATCAAGAGTCTACTCTTTCCTAACAGGTTTATGTCCCGAGCCTCCAGTTTCGTAAATCATTTGTTGGAACTTTTATTGAAATACAGTTTTTAACAATCCATTTTAAAGCTATGCAAATTTCGGCAGACGGAAATGGATAATGAAAAGAAATTTTGTATAATATTATATAATATTATAGTAAAATGATATTATTGATAAAAAAATCTTTAATCTGCATTTATATTTATTAAAAAACTGTCAAATTTTATTTATAAAAAGAAAAACCTTTATTAAGGGAGAAGTGTCTTTTAACTTATAAGGAATGGTCTAAAAAGAATATGCAGAATAGAACATATTATTAAACAATCAAGGCACCTTTTATTATGTTCATAAATGCTTATAATATGAAGTAGAAATTTGCAAATTAAGAATCTGATGTACTAGAAAGTACATAAAATTATTAGATGCCATACAAGTATTTTAATCCTTTTTTTTCTTTTTAATTAATATAATATTTCCGGGCGTATTTTCCTCCTCGCATATTTTCCCCCTACCCTTTTAAAGCCAGGTTTTGAAAATTTAGAAAAATATTCGAGTAATTTTCACCTTTTCTCAGTGCATTCAGAGACGGAGCTCCCCGAAATTTTAAAATTTGCCCGTCTACGTTGTGATTATTTTCGACTTATCAACAAACACTCAAAAACTACCTGCGAAGGCTACGCCGAACCTTTTTCTTCTAACTGTGTATGCTAGCCTAATACAAGAACTGCCTAAGCACAGCTACGCAAACGCGAACTTATATTCAGTGTACGATTTCTCTGAGTCAAGTGCATATTCACCTTCTCTAAATATTCATCGATGGTTTGAAGCCTAAGGAGTAGCAGAGACACAGTAAGAACGGGCGAGATTCAAGTTACATGGAACTATAAATAGGATATCTTAATAGATATTGTGACGTTAATATTCTTACTGAAATGTAGGTTTCTTTCAAAGAAAGATTATTATGATAGTAACCTGTAGTTTATCCATGAATACGTTTCATTTGTTATATTCTTTTTGTAACTACATCTTTAGCGAAAAAAATTATTTGCATAATTTTACCCTGTCGATTTCCGGACGATAATAATAAAATAAGACATGAAACTACGCGTAGAAATACGGTAGGTTATGTAACTAGAGTTCTTAGTTGAAAGTTGTGTAAGTAACATTACATATTTTTGGCGAAAATAATTAAATATTTTTCTCATACTTTTCAGTTTAATTTTCGATTATGTATGTTTATTTAAAATTAACTTTTGAAATCTATTTTTTTAATTTTTAATTAACTACTTAAATATTATTGCAGAACAATATTTGACAAATTAAATACTTACTCAAGTAACAGAGTTTAAAAAATTTAAAACGAAAGATAACAAAAATTTAGTTTATCATAAGAGATAGGTCTTGAGTGGAAAGCGTATAGAAAGTAAATTTGATATAAGATAACGTACTAAAATTTTGCCCTCAGTATATAATTCTTGTAAATATATACAGTGCTTGGTATGTTTACACAGTTCCTGAACCTCTCTGTAAAATTCCTCTTTTGGAATATTGTTTAAATTTCTCCTAATAATTTTCTAAATGTCTTATATGTTATTAAAATAATTAATTTGCAGTGAAACTTCGCTTAAGGAAGAGAAAATAGTTTAAAAGGTGTTGTGATTGGCGAATAAATGACTAAGAACTGTGAACCTTTTCTTTGCTAGAAACTGCTTGACGAAAGTCGAATTATGTAACTGTGTATTGCTGTGCAGCAGAAACAATTATTCGGTTAAGCCTTTTCACGTCTAACTTCCTGAATTCAGATATCCGCCCATTGTGTCTTTGTGAACTGTGGAGTTCACAATCTGTCCCTCTGAAGAAATGTCTTGTGAAATATCCCTTTCGCTCAATAAAGATGAGCAACATTTTCTGTAGGTGAGATTTATGAAACCAAAGTTTCGATGACCTTTATAGATAGTTGGTGTTTGGGTTCTAGCCCCGGCGAATGGACTGGCTGCATGGCGTTTTCGAGGTTTTCTTCCATGTGTGATGCATATACGACTTAGTTTACTTTAGAAAGTCCTCCCGAAGGCATCCCTACCCTCAGACAAATAACCCCCGAGTACTTTTCCATAATTAAATAAACCTGAAGTTTTCTGGCGCATGATAGTCATTTTGTATCCGGATCATATGTAAAGAACAAATTTCATTAGTTTTTAACAACTTCTTGAAAAAAAAATCAGGATTGGTGTCTGTCGTTTGGATTATCATGACATGCAGAAATTTGTCCTATTTCTGTTCTGTAGCTAATACGTGAGGGACAAATTGAGAACAATTTTTCCTAAGATTTTCCACGACAGTTTTGTTTGCAAGATCTTTACTCATCAGCTATCATACGAAGAAACCAAATTTTCATTTGCAGTTGAACATTTTGATTTTCTTATCGAGAAGGTAACCACTCCTAGATTCGAAACTGTGAAAAGCAAACATTCCCGGTTTCATCATCAACAGATTTTAGCATTAAGTACTAAACATTTTCAAATTTCTATCCAATATTGATCAGAAGCAAATGAATTTCATTTATTTATTTATCAGCAGATTTTAGCATTAAGTACTAAACATTTTCAAATTTCTATCCAATATTGATCAGAAGCAAATGAATTTCATTTATTTATTTATATATTTTTAATTTTAGTACTCGTCCAAAATATTCTAAATGGACTAATTAAAAAAAAAAGTAATTTTAAGAAAGAAAATTTTTCAAAAATTTTTCATCAGGTTTTCTTGTATGGTAACTATATATTCGGGTTTTTATTTTATGTAACTATATTGAAGCTCGGAAAATAAGCAATTTTTCTATAAGTATATATTACAAATTGTTTGGATCTAGGATTAGGATTTTTATAATATATAAGTCTATATATAAGCATGCACATATCGACTTTTGTAAAATTAATGTAATTTAAAGCATTTCTTCAAATTTTAGAAATAAAGAAATATTATCAGAAACACTATTAAGCGAAAATATTGCCAACACTACCTAATAAAGAAAGAGAAAAATGATAACTTAGCAGGTTAGACTGTAGAGTCATTAGGTTTTTTTGGAAGCCAGAGAGATGAAAAATTAACAACCGCCTTCGCCGGGAATCGAACCACAGACCTCTGCAATACCGGCTCAATGTGCAGAACCATTACACCACGAAGGCTCGCTAGGGAAGTGGGAGAAACACCTTATATACTCCCCTTTTTAAAGGGCGACTAGAGTTTTAGGGGACCTAGTCGCCAAATCCTGAGTGCGGAAAATCATCATCCACAACCCTTTTAGTTCGGGCGCCACTTGTAGAGTCATTAGGTTTTTTTGGAAGCCAGAGAGATGAAAAATTAACAACCGCCTTCGCCGGGAATCGAACCACGGACCTCTGAAATACCGGCTCAGTGTGCAGAACCACTACACCACGAAGGCTCGCTAGGGAAGTGGGAGAAATACCTCATAAGACTAGTCAAGAAAAACACCAGTGTACACAACATACACCAGTATATGCTAGAACATACATTGGGTTTCAAAATTTAAAGAAAAATCACGAAAAAAAGCGATAACTCGTCTAAAAATTAAACATTCCGTATAAAATTTGAATATGTTATTAAATAAGTCTTGCTGTTTAAATGAGCAATATGCAGCACGCAAATTACTGGTGCTGCAATCGGAAAGCGCCCTCTGCCAGGAGCAGAAAATTGCATGTTTAAGAGAAAGCCTGTAAATTCCGCTGTGATACAGAGAGAAGAAATCTGGGATAG